CTCACTACTGCTGCCACACTTGAGTCCATCAATGATGCCACCTGGCCAATCCATCTCATTGGGGGTCTTCCTCTTTTTCTCTGACCCTCTACCTTACCCAGCATGACATCCTTCTCCGGCGACTGTTCCCTCTGGACAATATATCCAGCGTATGAGAGACGAAGCTTAGCCATCTTGGCCTCCAAGGAGCACTCTGGCTGCACCTCTTCCAAAATAGATCTATTGGTTCTTTTGGCAGTCCATGGCACCTTCAGTATTCTTCTCCAACAACACCACAACTCAAAGGCATCAATTCTTCTACGATCTTCCTTATTCACTGTTCAGCTCTCGCATCCATAGGAGGTTATTGAAAATACCATGGCTTGGGTCAGGCGCACCTTGGTCCTCAAGCTGACATCTCTGCTCTTCAATATTATAAAAAGTTCCTGTGCAGCAGATTTGCCCAGTGCAGTATGTCGTCTGATCTCTTGACTGCTGCTTCCACAGTAGAGGCAGTAATGATCGTAACAAAACCTTACCAAGGCTTATCATGTGCTAGGCACCGTGTTGAATGTTTTATGTGGATCATCTCACTCAATCCTGATACAGCTTTGTGAGGTTGTTGTTGTTCTGTGCCGTCGAGTTGGTTCTGACCCATAGTGACCCTGGATAGGGTTTCCAAGGAGCAGCTGGTAAGCTGGAACTGTAGACATTGCAGTTCAAACTAACTTTGCAGTCCAGCATATTAACCCATAGCGCCAATCTACCAGTTGCCCACTTTGTGAGGTTGTGAATAGCCATTGATTCGGTTCTGGCCCATAGTGACCCTCTAAAGGGTTTCCAAGGAGCAGCTGGTGAGCTTGAACCTCTGACCTTGCAGTTCAAACAGCTTTGCAGTCAGGTACATTAACCCACAGCGCCACACCAGGACTCCTACTTTGTGAGGTAGGGAGTGTTATTACCTTAGTATTCTAGATGAGGATTATAGATGAAGAGGAGTCCTGGTGTGGCTCTGTAGGATAAGCACTGGACTGCTAATCACGAGGTTGGCATTTCATAAGCCTCTCCTCGGATACCCTATGCAGGGTCTTTATGAGCTGGAACTGACTCAATAGCACTTACCAACAACAGCAAATAGAGGAGGAAACTGAGGTATAGGAACTTTAACTTCAGTATCACCCTGAGGGCACCCAGTGGAGCCAGGTTTTTGAGTCCAGAGCCTGGGTCTCTATGACTATACTATTCTATAGCTAGTCATAATGGTGGTCGAATTTTCCCTCCTCCTCTCCCTCTCTTCCTCTTTTTCATTCTCCTCCTTCCTTCCCCCACTCCTCATTCAGGCAACACTGAGTGGAGCCCTGGAATAGTTGGGGGTGGGATTTGGGCTTGGCCACATTCTTAACCCCCAGGGACCATCTCTCTTGCCCCTGCCTAGGCCTACGAACGGCAGATTCCACCCCGAACCATCATCAACAGTGCAGGCTACAAAATCCTCACCTCCGTGGACCAGTACCTGGAACTTGTTGGCAACTCCTTGCCAGGTAAAGGACCACTCAGTGCAGGCTGAGATGTGCTGTGCAGGCCTGACAGTTGGCATGGGGAGGAGGACACCATGAGCCTGGCACTCCAGATCCTGTGTTTACAGAACAACCACCTGCACCAAGCCGAACCTCAAAGGGAGGCTTTGTAGCTGCCAGACGCAGGGGTTTGCCCAAGGCCACTCAGTGAGAAGGAGTTGGACCAGTGTGAACCCCACCTGTGTCCTGCACTGTGGAACTGGGATCTCACTGTCTCTGCATAGCTCACCAACAGGAGTTCTTGAGGGACTCCCAGGAGAAGTCAGTACAGGGAATCCAGCTTTCGAAACTGACAGCCAACCTGCACTTGGGAGGAGGTGTTGGGATCGGTGTTGCTTCTACCTGCCCAGCAGCCTAACTAGAACGCCACCTGCCTCAGATGACCCCAGGGAGACTAAGAGGCAGGAGAGCTGTGGTGGGGTGCAGGGTATACCCCAGATGGGACTTGAAAGTAAGCCCATGTAGTGGTGGAGGTTTCAGCTAAACTCCAACATTCCTGGATTCCAGTCTCTGCTGTGTTTGTGTGCTGTCTTCATAGGCAAATTGCCTCCTCTTTCTGAGCCTCAGTTTCTTCAGCATCTACACAACGCAGACACCCAGAGCATTGTGTAGACCCTGGGAGGGGCTGCAAAGCTGGGCACAAAGAAGAACTGTTATTGCAGTATTATTGACAGTGGCACAAGACCAGTCATCTTACTGAGATCTGGAGATCGATGCCAGCAAAATAGAGAAAAAAATCCCTTTGTATTTTGTGCCTCCCATTGCTCCCTCCCGATTTGGACATTTAAACCACACCTTGGCCTCCGCTACTGAAACGAAAGAGAAACCCAAGAAGGTGATGCTTGGCCTCTGACCCTCTGAGGGTTCTGGCCCGGTGTGCCTTACACACCGAGTTTAGAACCTTACTCAGAGGGAGCTGGATGCTCCTGCAGCACCATTCTTAAGAAAACGGTCGAAATGGATGCTGTGGGATTTGGAGGGCCTTCAGCCAGGCTGTGGTGGGCACAGCAAGAGAGAGGATGCTGCATCCCCACTGGGCTGCTGGCCACCCTAGGACAGACCAACCTCTAGGAGCCTGAGCCTGGCCTGAGGAATCAGCTGTATGCTGATCTACTTAATGGGTGCTGTTTTCACAGGGATCACGTCAAAATCAGGCACTGCCCCCATCCTCAAGTGCCCCACACAGTTCCCTCTCATCCTCTGGCATCCTTTTGCACGCCACTACTACTTCTGCATGATGACTGAGGCTGAACAGGACAAGTGGCAGGCTGCCCTGCAGGACTGCATCCGGCACTGTAATAATGGTGAGTAGCTTACAGGCACTGGAGAAGGGGCGGGGCATTTACCTGGGGTAAGGAATTGGGCTGCTAACCTCAAGGTCGGCAGTTAGAAACTACCAGCCATTCCGTGGGAGAAAGATGAGGCTTTCTGCTCCCATAAAGATTTACAGCCTCGGAAACCCTGTGCAGGGTCACTATGAGTCCAAATCGACTCCACGGTACTTAATAACAACAAAAGGAGTCCGGGTGGGGTGCTCCTTGGAAACCCTATATAGGGTCACTATGAATTGGAACCAACTCCACAGCACTTAACAGCGTGTGTAAGGAGTCCTGGTATGGCATTGTAGGATAAACACTGGACTGCTAACTGCAAAGTCTGCAATTCAAAGCTACCAGCCCCTTACAGGGCTGCTAAATTGAACCCGTAGCATAGTGGTTACGAATCGGGCTGCAAACTGCAAGGTCAGCAGTTGGAAACTACCAGCTGCTCTGTGGGAGAAAGATGAGGCTTTCTGCTCCCGTAAAGATTTGCAGCCTTGGAAACCCTGTTCAGGGTCGCTATGGGTCGGTACCGACTCGATGGCACTTAACAAAAACAATGGCAACAATGTGTGTAATGATGACACCTAGTGGCCAAACTTGGCATAGCAACCCTGCTTTATGAACGGTTCTAAGTTTTCTTCTCAGAAACGGTTGATACCACCCACCCTTAACCTTGTTCTGTCATGAAACTATAGTTCTGTGTTAATCAGAAAAACATTGGGGAAATTATTCACAGAACAGCCCTTATTTTTGAATCCTTCCATACCATATGACCTTAATAAAACCACTGCCACTGAGTAAATTCTATTGGGTCATAGCAACCCTCTAGAACAGAGTAGAACTGCCCCATAAGGTTTCCCAGGCTGGACTCTTTATGGAAGCAGAGGCTGCTGGGTTTAAATCACCAACCTTTTGGTTAGCAACCTTCTGGAGTGCTTTACCAGGGCTCCTTAACATGATCTTAGGAGACCAATTTACTTCTGGAACCTCTGTAAAATGAGAAAATCCCTCCTGTGCCTTAGCGGGTTCGTGCTCAATAGAGATTGGCTATTGATTTATTTCTTCCTTTATCACCAAACTGCAAGGATATTTCATTTTTTCTTCATTTGTAAAGTGATGCGGTCCCCTCCAGCTCACTCATTCATTCAGCTCTAAGCCCAGTCTGGGGCTGGGCATGGAGGCGGCAACAAGACCTCAAGACATAGTCCCTGCCTTCATGTAGCCAACAGTCTGGTGAGGGACAGATGTTACACAGATGAAAACACTGGGGGCCATGAGTCATGGCTGTACTGCATGCTGGGCAGGAGCTACCCAGGGAGCCTTGAGAGAATGTATGTGTGTGTGTATGGGAGTTTGGGGGCTGATCCCATGTGCCTGGGTGTTGGAGAGGGGTTGATCATGGCAGGCTCAGCTGAGATAGAGAGCAGAGGGGAAGAGTGTTCTAGACAGAGGTAGGAGGAGACCTGGAGGGATTCCTGAAGTAGAAACAGAATCGAGGAGGAACTGCAAGAGACCCTGAGTAAGGAAGGGGACTGAGGTTCTGTCAGCTAGGGCTGTAAGGAGTTTTGTCTAAGAGGTTATCTCTCAAGATGAAGGGGAGGTGTTGGAGGTCTTTCTCACTTTGGGGAAGGGCCAACCTTATCCTGGATCATGGACTTCCTTCCTGGTGACTTGGCCTCAGGGTATTTGAGAGAGAGGCCTTTACTCAATGCCCTGTCCTCTGTTCTGTTACTCCATGGCTACCAGCTGTCTGATCAGTCCAGGGGGTGGACACTATGGTCACCAACACCTGGAGGCCAAGTTGGCTGCTGCTATGACTTGGCTCACCCCACCCGTCCTGTGTAATTCCCAGAGCCGCCTCTGCCCCGTCTGGAATCTGCCAGGCGGGAGAAACCAGGTCTTTACCTGGGCTGGGCCCTGCCCACCCACAAAGGGCCTCCTGTTCCCAGGTCCCCGGGGGCTGTGGGGTGGTGCCTCTCAGGGTCCTGGCAGCCTGGCTGAGGCACCCTCCCTCGCTGGCCCAGCTCCACCCTTGCCTGGTTTCTAATACCGGCTGGCAGTGGCTAACCTGGTTGGGTGACTCCAGGCCAGGTGAAGGGAGTAGGTAGGGGTGAGTGAGGACAGAGCACGTGGGGAACAGCCACCCTTCAGTCCTGTGTGTGTAGAATGGGGGCAGAAGGAGCTCAGTCTCACTGGGCGATGGGAAAGAGTAACCCATTGGTTCTGGTGAAGACTGTACAACGCCTGTGCTTACCTGGGAGGTGTGGGGTGTTATGGGTGTGCTGCTGGGCCTGAGGCTCAGGGGAAGGAAAGGAAGGGACATCCTGGGACAGGAGGTATTCCGGCTGAGGGGTGGGCTGACGAGGCTGGTTTAGAGGTGGGCCTTTCCTCTACCCTGAGAACTGTGGGAAAATTCTCTGCTTCACTGGGGCCAAGGTTGGGGCTGGAATTTGTGGAGCCTGGAATTGCTCACTCTAGGGGCTGCCAGGAAGTGGGGGTGGGAGGGGAGGGAAGCCAAGCTGGGTGGACGCCAGCTTGACCCAGGGCCCAGTCTGTCGGCACATCCTGCATTCCTGGAACAGCTGGGGTTGGCAAGAGGCAGCTAGAACACTCACCACCACTGCTGCACTGAGTCCTTGGTGTAGACCTGGGGTTGGAGGTCAAGGCCTCTTCCTGTCTGACCCACCTCCGCTGCTGGCCAGGACTGAGTAATATAGCTTTCCTTGATCAGCCTGATCCTTAGGACCCGTGGACAGAAAGTCTCCAGTCTGGCCACAGTCACTAGTTCTGGTTCTGGCGCTATGCTGCCATTCCCTAGCTTTGTGTTATTGAGTCAGTAATTTTGCGTCTCTGAGCCTCGGTTTCCTTCTCAGGAAAAGTGAGGCTAAGAATAGGCTCACAGGGTTGTTTTGAGGGTTAAAGGAGGGGATGCAGCTCAAGTGCTTAGACTCATGGGAAGAGCTTGGGAAGGGTTGCTCTTACTCTTGTGTGGAATAGCAAGGATCCCAGGGGGCGCAGGAGCTTGGGGTCTGGCCCAAGCCGGTTGGAGTCAGGGCTGGACAGCAGCAGTCTCTTTCCTGTTGCCCAGTTGGGCTATCCTTAGCCTCACCTTCCTGCTACCTGGAAAGAGGCTCCTGCCTTGTACCCCTGACTTGTTGCATGCAGAGTGGAGATTCCCAAGCTAAACAGGCTGCCCATAAATGCACAGCCTGGATTTCACAGGTAAATGCTTGTCTCTAAATGTGCCCCTTCTGAGAGCCTGGACCACATTCAGTCATGGTGCTGCCTTATAGGAGCATCTCTGCTCTTCCTGTGGATGCGAGACAGTGTAGACCCCCCCATGTGGCTCCTAGGGATGGAGGCCACTGGACCTCTGCTTCTCCACTGAGGAATTCCCTCCCAGCTCTGACAGGCCGGTGCAGGGAGGGCGGGGCATGGGGCGGGGCTCCCCATGCCAGAGAGGGGCTTTTTTTCTGTGGGGATGACTCAGCTGGAGTCATCACAGTGGGAGTTGGGGTTTATGATGCATAGGCTGCTGTTTCCTCTTCCCTCAGCCCTAGGACTGAGTGGTCAGAGAGGCACGTGGCCAGGGTGACCGCCAGCTGCCTGGCTAGGTGGTGTTTAACCATGTTCTTCCCCAAGTGGATTTTGCAACTTCCCACAGTTTGCCTCTCTAGCCCCAAGTTTGGAAGGCCACGCCTTGCTGGTTGGCCCACCTGGACACCAGGGGGGAAAGGAGGGTAAGCACAGTAGTAGGGGCACAGAATCATTTGGACCTCTGACAACACCTACCACCAATAACAAAAATCCACGCTGGGTTCTGACTGAGCACTCATTGGTGAGCAAGACAGAACCTGAACCTGCTTATGCCTGGCAAGGGAGGCAGCGTGAACCGAGTCTGTTCTGAGACCCTGACCTTGGACGCCATAGTTTACGAACCCGTTTCTCACTGGGCCCCAAGATCTAGAACTTGGCTCAGCAAACTATGGCCCTCTGGCCACATTTGGCCCACCATCTATTTATGTCAGTAAGTGTGATTGGAACCCAACCATGCCCATTCATTTATGTGTAGTCTGCCTATGGTTGCTTTGGAGTCCTGGTGTGCTGCCATAGGTAAAGCATTCAACCTCAAGATCGGTTTGAACCTCTAGGTCGGCTGTTCAAACTCACCAGCTGCTCCTCGGAAACCTTGGATAGGGTCCCTATAAGTCGAAACTAAATCAGTGATAACGAAAACAACAATAATGGCTGTTTTGGAGTTAGTGTGATGCTGTAGGATCAGCACTTGGACTGCTAACCACAAGGTCGGTAGTTCAAACCCACCAACCACTCCTCAGAAACCCTATACAGGGTCTCTATGAGTTGGGACTGACTCGACCTGATTGCACTTAACAGACAAACATGGCTACTTTTGTGCTTCAGTGACCAGAATGGATTAGTTGTTGCCTCAGATATGTCTGGCCTGCAGAGCCAGAAACAAATGGACTCTGAAAGATTTGTAGATGGTTGATCTAGAAAGTAAGGGGAGAAAACAAGATTCAAACGAGGATTTCTGGGTGCTTCTAGCACATTCTCCATTGTGCTGGGTGGCATCCCCCCAGACGAGGTAGCTTCTAGTCTTGGCTCTGCCACTTACTGCGTTCGTGACCCTAAGCCAGTGGCCTGAGTGTTTCTTCATCTGCCAAATAAGGTTCATAGCAGTGCTTATGACTTGGGGTAGTTGGAAGATTCCAGGAGGATTGCCTTGGTGGTGGCGTTGGTGGGTTATTATATCTGTTACTCTCACTGTGATCTTGAATTGTGTGTGTGTGTGTGGTTTGATCAGTTGGTGGCCCACCATGCTGACTCCACTCTCCCTCCCTCTCCTGGACAGGGATCCCTGAGGACTCCAAGGTGGAGGGCCCTGCCTTCACAGATGCCATCCGCATGTACCGTCAGTCAAAGGAGCTGTATGGCACTTGGGAGATGCTGTGTGGGAATGAGGTGCAGGTGAGGCCAGAGTGGGGGGAACTGCAGAAGGCAACCCACTTGAAATTGGGGCGCAGAGGGTGGGCCCAGGCACAAATATGAGCTCTGGTGAGCTGCAGGTTTGGAAGGAGATGGCAAAGTCTGATTTGGTGGGTCATCAGGTGAGGATGTTTGTTATTTTAGTCAGTCACTTACTAGCATCTACCCTGGGCCCAGTGTGGGTGCTGGTGAGCAACATTTGGGCCTGACAATTAGGGAACCCTGTGTGCAGGAGAAAGACAGTATGCACACACACCATCCCAATTGCAGGCAAAGGCAGGGGACAGTGGGAGAGGCAGTATTACTAATGTGGAGGCATCATGTGCCCAAGTGCTGAGTGGGCTTCTGTGCTTGAGGGTCCTACAGGACATACATCCTGCCTGGTCAGGGTGGGGCCTATGGGAGAGAGTTCGGGAGAGATAGAACAAGAGCAGTGGAGACGCCCAGCCAAGGGCCAGGCACAGAGGAGGTGGGGAAGTCATAGGGGTTCGAGTGGCCGTGCTTCTGGAATCCTCCAACTCTTGCCTCAGCTTGTGCCTCCTGTCCTAGATTCTGAGCAATCTGGTGATGGAGGAGCTGGGTCCTGAACTGAAGGTGGAGCTCGCACCTCGGCTGAAAGGAAAACCTCAGGAGCGACAGCGGCAGTGGATCCAGGTGGGTGGTCTTGGGACCCAGGAGTGGGACAGGAGGCCTGTAGTTGTCCCAGTGTCCTCAGCCCTGGTACTGATGCCGTGACACTGCCCGCAGATCTCGGATGCTGTGTACCGCATGGTGTACGAGCAGACCAATGCACGCTTTGAGGCGGTGCTGTCCAAGCTGCAGCAGGCCCGGTCGGCCATGGAGGCAGTCATCCGCACCGACATGGACCAGATCATCACGTCTAAGGAGCACCTGGCTAACAAGATCCGAGGTAGGCAGGTCCCCGCCACACCTGAGTTTATTACCCAGGCCCTCCAGGAGCCATGGCTGAACTCAGTGTTATCTCATGGAGACCTGTCAAAACCAATTGCTGTTGAGTTAATTCTGACTCACGGTGACCCCATGTGTATCAGAGTAGAGCTGTGCTCCATCTCCATAGGGATTTGGTTTTTTTTCCTTGTAGCAATGGGCTCAAATTTAATAAGGATTGTGAAGATGATACAGGACTGGCCAACATTTTATTTTGTCATATATGTATATATGTATATATATATATATATTCTCTATATAGGATTGTTATGCCTCAGAACCAACTTGCTGGCATCCAACACCAACAGAATACATGAGATCAATATTAGACTGCAGGCAACACTAAGGAAACTTTGATTTGAATAAAATGATTCAGGGTAAATCAGATGAGGGGAATGCCATTTGAAAATCATGTCTTGAAGTAAATTGTGGAGCTGTTTATTGGTATATGGAGCAAACTAAGAGCAAACAGAAAATAAACAGCCTCTGTTGTTGACAAATTTGTTCTGTTATAAACAAAAATAAAACCAAATATTGAGCCTGCTCTAAAAGTCCACGATTAAGACTTTACATTACCCTTAGTTATACAATACAGTCCTCAGAGTGATTAAAATGAGAAAGATTGGCAGCACCTCTTTTCTGATAGGAACTGCAAATCCCCAAACTCCCTTCAGTTTCCATTACTCACTAGAAACAACTCCACTTGTGCCTACTATTTTCACATTGATATATATCACATGGGAAGTGTACAGAAAATCACCAAATGAAAGTGACACTGGACAAAGTATGGTAAGATTCCAAATAGGAAGCTTGTGTGGTCCTCAGGAGTTATTACTGTTTTGGTATCAGAATATGACAATATGCATACAGTTGCTAACTTGAAATGCAGTGGATCCGTACAAAACATACTGGACTACAAAACACAAGGTCCTCCTTTTGAACCTGTCAGCAGCTCTTCAAGGAAAAAGAGGCTGTCTTCTTTCACAAAGATTTTAAAAGCCTTGGAAACCCTCCCTATACAGGGTAGCTATGAGTTGTAACTAATTCCAAGGCACTTAACAACACCAATAAAATTGCTAACAGAGGAAGTTTGCCCTAGCTTCCATGTCTAGAGTTTTACTGAGGTTTCTTTATATTGAAATGACTGATTGATTTGGATCAGGTGATTGAACTCCATTTCTAGGTTGATTGATATGACTTGGCAAAAAAATCACATCTAAATAATGTGTTTGGTCATTCTGGAGAGGTCAGGGTCTACCTTAAGACAACAATGTGGCCAACACACTCTGATGTCCATTTATTAGCATATGAAGGGGTTTCAAAAACTTAGTGGGGAAATTCTATTGTCTCTTTTTTTATTTTTAAGTTTTTATTGTGAATTATGTGATAGTTTACATGGGAGAACATTAGCTCTCCATGCATCCTATTGTATATTGTTTCATTGCCATGATTACAATCCCCTCCATGCATCATCAAACAACCATAAGGTATACCCCACAAGCCTGCCCCTCAGTCGTCAGCACGCAGCCCCTCTCCCTCTCTGTGTCTAGACTCCCCAGCCACTCAATCTCTCCATATCATCGTCTCTGCTTCCATCTCTGGTGTCACTGTTTCTCTGGGTAGGGTTCCTCACTCTGCTCTTCTCCCTTGATAGTCTCAGGAGCCTTGGCTCCTGGACTGCAAAGTCAACCACTCTCCTTCTTTTGCTACAAAACATCTACCTTTACGTTTCCAACCCTCACATTCAGTCCTCATAGCAATTATTCACTATTGTATCACAAGAGACCTATCCCCATCTCCTTTCATCAGCCCTGCCCAGACAGATTAGATACTACTCAGTGGAGATTCTACCTTCCTCCATGCCCTCTGGATCTAGGTTCCCTCTTGAAAGCTTGTAAGCCAGTCACTTCTTGCCTTTGTAGTCCTTCATTTTGGGTAGCCAATGTCCAAGTTGTCCATCCCTGTCTACTTTGTGTATGGAAGGGGTGGGAATGGTCCTCACTGTAAAGATTTGTTCCCTCTTTTGAGCTACTGCATCCATAGGTGTAGGCCAAGTTCATCAAATTGTGTCAGATTACTCTTTTTTTCCTCTTCTTTCTTCTTCTGTTTGAGCTCTGATCATCCAGTCATTGAAGCCAGGTCAAGTGAGTATTATCTGCAAGTGTGGGTGTTCGTGTGCATATGCCCTCTCTTCTTATCAGCTGGATGCTTCACTCTCCACTCTAGTCCTCTATGGCTATGTCATTGACTCTGGGCCAAAGAGTCCCCGGGTCTTGCCACACTTTTGGCCAACCGGGTCTCCACTTTTGTTTACAGGAGTCTATTGAACATTGTAGGGTTTAGCTTGCAACCTCATTGCTGTTTTTCCCTCACTTCCCTTTATCGGTGACGAATATGCTCACCAATCAGAGCGTGTATTCCCATTGAGTCTTAGTCTTGGAAGGGGGTTTGCTCTGAGGGGACCCGACCACTTGCCTTGATGACTCCTAGGTGAGCAACTTGCTTGTTCTTGTAGTAATCAGTTGGTCTGCCTATATTGTTTTGTATTTTTCCTGTAGGTCTTTCTTTCAAGAATTATCTTCTGTCCTTCTAGCTGCTCTAGGCTGGTCTGCCTGTCCTTTGAAGTGGAAATTTCCCACCTCAGAAGATTCTGGATGTGGTTCAGGATTCCACCTAAGGTCTTATGTAGTGCAGAGGCTCCACAGGAAGCCTCCTTCACTGGGCATGTCATAGCCCCATTTTAGGTATTCCAATCAGCTATAGGCAGAAGACGGACTTACAAACTTTCTATGGTGATATTTCTAGCTATTCCTTTCTCTCTCCCTCAAGTGTCTATTTTATAATGGTATGCCAGGGAAACCAAGATTCATAAGATAGACAAGCATCTTAACATTATTTCCCCTTCAGGGGATATTTTTGGTTTAAGGTTTAAAGACTATCTCAGGGCAATAGTTTCAGAGGTTCATTTAGCTTCCATGACTCCAGAAAGTCTGGAGTCCATGAGAATTTGAAATTACGTTCTGCATTTCTCCCCTTTTGCACCAGCTGGAATTTGAAGACCTGAATTTTTGTCAAGGGAGTTTTAGCTTTCTGCTCATCTTTTAGCTAATCATAGATTTTACCATATGTTATTTAGCAGACATCAGTTTTAAGTTTAATGTGGTCATGATTTATCTCAGCAAGTCTGAGTTTTCCAGGTCACTTTTTGCTCCTTTCTGTTTCCAACCAGATGGGCCCCTTTTGCTGCTCATCAGCCATGGTATCTTTTGCCATTTCCTGTAGTTGTTTTCCCCCAGTCATAGTCGTGAGCTGGAGAGAAGACTCAGAGTTGGCATTGATTTTGTGCAACAACAGCATTTGCTGGGCAGAGGGGGAGGATATCTAAACACCCTCTGAGTGAAAATGTCTTGGCCAGAATGTCCTGGAGGCAGTCTTTGGCCACCATTCTGAAATAGGACCTCGCACTGTTTTGTACAGTATCAAGACACTCACTAAATCCAAAGAAGTGTTTTGGTTAAACAAAGGTGCAAGATCTCCAAAGATGAGTTTTCTCTCCACCTCTAGCAGATGCCTTTGGACTAGCACTTTTCTTAGTCTCTTGCTGTTACAGTTTCAGAAATCTCTGGGTCTCATCTCAAAACACCCTATTACGTGTACTAAACGGATTTATTATCTCTAGCAAATATTTCTCTAGAATCACCCAGCCAGCTAATGTTGTCACTTGTGGTTTTATTTAATACAACATTGCAAGCCTCCAGCATGCTCGGGTCTGGAGTGACCCGGTGCATTCCTACAGTGCTTGCGAGAACAGTTTGAAACGGTTTGAGGCCTTGCTCTACACCATCTTCAGAGCAAGGTTATAGAAATTTCAGACAATTGGATACAAAGAAAAACAAAACAGTATCAGGCCTCTAGTGCCTGGGGTTCTGGGATGGCCTGGAGCTGCTCTTGGGGGGCTGCCCGCTGCCCCACTGGAGCTTGGCTAACCTGGGCTCCCTCTGGGTGCAGCTTTCATCCTCCCCAAGGCAGAGGTGTGTGTCCGGAACCACGTTCAGCCCTACATCTCGTCCATCCTGGAGGCCCTGATGGTGCCCACCAGCCAGGGCTTCACTGAGGTGAGGGACGTATTCTTCAAGGAAGTCACTGACATGAACCTGAACGTCATCAACGAGGGAGGCGTTGACAAGCTGGGCGAGGTGAGGCCCAGGACCACCTCCAACTGCATTCCTGCTGCTCAGCCCCTATCCAGCCCTTTCCCCTGGACAAAGAGAGGGTCTGTCTGCTAGAGACGACTGGTTGGCATCCACAAACCAAGTGGGAAGTCCCATTGGCCTTGCAGTTTGAGGAAAGTAGGACTTTTACCTTGCCCTCAGCCTTTAGAAACCAGGTTTCTAAAGTCTATGAGAATTAAACAGAGAAGGGAGCGAGGGAGGGAAAAAAAGAGGGAGGACTACAAACTTCAGGTGTGGATAACATCGTTAACAAGGTAGAATAAAGTTGATATATATATATATAAATAATCTGGTAGCGTAGTGGTTACGAATTGAGCTGCGAACCTTAAGGTCAGTGGTTCGAAACTACCAGCCGCTCTGTGGGAGAAAGATGAGGCTTTCTACTCCCATAAGGATTTTCACCCTCGGAAACCCTGTACAGGGTCGCTATGGGTCGGAACCGACTCGACGGCACTTAACAACAATATATATATATATATATATATATATACACAACCTAGCCCTCGTGTGGCGCTGTGGGATCAGCACTGGACTGGTAACTGCAAGGTTGGCAGTTCAAACCCACTAAACTGCTCTAGGAAACCTTATACAGGGTGGCTATGAGTCGGAATTGACTCGGTGGCAGTGGGTTTGGTTTTATACGAAGTCGTGCACCCCACAGATGGAGACAAACCATCTTTCTCACTTGCTCTCAGTCAATCTGGTAAGCAGGATGAAGGCGTGCCTTAACCACAGGCCCCATGTTGGGGTTGTCAGCTTCTTGGATGCCCATGTAGTTATTAGACTTTGATCCTATAGTCAGTCTCTCTACATCCCAAATTGAGGAGTCCAGAAGCATCAATAATCATAGAATTTGAGAACTGGAAAGGTCCTTAGACATCATTAGAAACTATTCTTCACTTTTGAGGCTAAGGAAACCAAGGCTCAGAGACAGTGAGGGATTTTTCCCAAAGTCACCCAGCACCCCAGAGAGGATAAGAACCCTTCTTTCCATACCTGGCCAGCTTCTCCTCATGGTGCTATGTGATAGACCTCGCATCCCTGCCTCCAGGCCCTTGTCTTTACTGGCCCAGGGCTCTTGCAGATATGGGGCTGCGGGGCTACCTGCTCACTGAGGTCCTGCTGTCTCCCCTTCTGCAGTACATGGAGAAGTTGTCCCAGCTGGCTTTCCACCCCCTCAAGATGCAGAGCTGCTATGAGAAGATGGAGCCGCTGAGGCTCGATGGGCTGCAGCAGCGTTTCGACGTGTCTAGCACATCCGTGTTCAAGCAGCGAGCCCAGATCCACATGCGTGAGGTGGGCCCACACGGCTGCCCCTTCCCCCTGAGGCCCACTATGGCCACATACCCTCCTTATGTGCCGTATCAACCCTGGCACTGCCCTCCCATGCTCCAACTCGCTTGGAGTGCCTATCCCTCTTGTTTCTGTGGGCTCCCACAGTACAGGACCTTGTACTTCCTGGTTCCTTGATGCAGGAATGGCTGCTATGTTAGACACAGCATAGAAATGCAGCACAGGAATGTCTGAGTGAGTGTGTGGTGTCTGAGTGAGTGTGTGGGTAAATGAGGAGGTGGCAGGCCTTGGGGCCCGTAGAGGCATGGGAGAAGACTGTGGTCATTGGGGCTCACCTGCTCTGTGGGGTCCCGTGCAGCAAATGGACAATGCTGTGTACACCTTCGAGACCCTCCTGCACCAGGAGCTGGGTAAAGGGCCCACCAAGGAAGAGCTGTGCAAGTCCATCCAGCGGATCCTGGAGCGGGTACTGAAGGTGAGTCCCAACCCTGCTGGAGCCAAACTCAGTCTAGGAGTTGGCACCAGGATCATGCTGTATGAGGAGGCTCTCTGGTCCCCTTGTAGAGATGAGGACACTGACCCCAGGCCTTTTCTCGGCAGAAATACGACTATGACAGCAGCTCTGTGCGGAAGAGGTTCTTCCGGGAGGCATTGCTGCAGATCACCATCCCATTCCTGCTCAAGAAGCTGGCCCCCACCTGCAAGTCGGTGAGCGCCCCACCCCCTCGCTTCCTGCTCCAGCCCCTTCTGGTCCCAGAGTCAGTTAGGTTGGGGTGTTGGGGTGGAGCCGACAGCCCCTCTGTCTGGCCTGCTTCCGAGCTCCACCTGTCTGTGTCCCTCAGGAGCTGCCCCGGTTCCAGGAGCTGATCTTTGAGGATTTTGCCCGGTTCATCCTGGTGGAGAACACATATGAGGAGGTGGTGCTGCAGACGGTCATGAAGGACATCATGCAGGGTTCGTGTCAGCTTTGTTCCCCTTGATGGGCAGGGAGGCCAGCTTTGGAGCTGGGGTCGGGGCGGTCCCCGACTGCCACCACCGCTGCTGCTGAATTCTTATTGTCAGGAGATGATGGAGGGGCAGTGTGGTGTGAAGAAAAGCCCAGAACTTCCCCATGTGGGCGGTGTTGAGCCCACTTTTAGCTGTGTGGCTTCAGGGGTCTAGTGCTTCTGGCCCAGCCCCCAGCGTTGAGGCCTGGATGAGTCATGTCCCAAGCACACACCCACTGAGGCTGTCTGAAGCCTCGGGAGACAGTAGGGGTGGCCCTGGTGTGGCGCCCCTGACCTCTCCCTCCCTCCCCACAGCTGTGAAGGAGGCTGCTGTGCAGAGGAAGCACAACCTGTACCGGGACAGCATGGTCATGCACAACAGTGACCCCAATCTGCACCTGCTTGCCGAGGGCGCACCGATTGACTGGGGTGAGGAGTATGGTGGCAGTGGGGGCAGCGACAGTCCCCATCCTGATGCCCCCGAAGTGGCCACCCTTTCGGAGAAGCGACGGCGTGCCAAGCAGGTGGTGTCTGTGGTACAGGACGAGGGCATGGGGCTGCCCTTTGAGGTCCTCCCTGAGCCACTGTCACCTGCATCCCTGGACAGCGTCACTGAGCTCCGTGGCATGCTGACCCAGGAGCAACAAGCTGAGAGCCCCCCACCAGCTGGCCCCCTGCTCAACGGGGCCCCTGCCCGGGAGAGTTCCCATCCCATGGCAGACTCTGAGGCCTCGTCGCCACCCAACTCGCCCCTCCGGCATCTCTCACCTGGAAAGGCTGCGGACGTTGAGCCTCCTAAGCCCAGTGACCAGGAGACTGGGGAGCAGGTGTCCAGCCCCAGTGGCCGCCCCCCAATCCACACCACCACCGAGAACAGCGCGGGGGTGCAGACTGAGTTTTAGGCCTGTCCACCCGGTGCTTTTGTTGGCCATAGTGCTAGGGCACTTCCTCCAGGGCACTGTGTCTCTGTGCTGGGCATGGATGCACCAGACCTGTGCCTTACAGGGTGTGGAGGGGCAGCACCTCCAGGGTTGGGCAGGGGAGGGCCCGCCTGAGTCACTTTATTGGGTTTGCTCAACACTTTATTACCCCCTGCTTTCTCTGCTGTTGGAGGGTCCGGTTTTGGGGATTTCCTACTGTGCTGGGGCTGGGGCACAAGTGCCAGGGCCTGCAGACTCCCAGGGCTGCCTGTCCCCACGGCCTCTTGCTTCTTGACCTTTTTCTGTGGCCTCAGTTTCCCACATGGGTCTTACCATCCTTCTGGGAAAGAAGGAGAGGAAAGCAGTGTGTTCTGTGACTGGAAACCAGTGAGTCCTATTCCATCTCACCGGGGTGAGGGGTGGCCACTCCCCACTTCTCCACCAGGTCTCATTTCCCTGCCTTGGGCTAGGCGAGAGGCTCAGTGAGGGAGGAAGGCTGTCCTGGAATAAGAGGACCACTTCTGGACAGGAGTGGGGTCTTCAGGTTGAGCCATGCTGATAGTGAGGGAAGTGAGGGCACTGGACCTGGGATGGGATGAGAAAGTAAGAGAAAGTGCTGGATGGCAGAGGGGAAGTGTCCTGTGGGGACATGTTGAGAACCAGGGAGTGGAGGCTGAGATACAGACTTGAGGGTTGCTGGCAGTCAGAATGGGGCCTCTGCCTCCCTTCCTCCCCCTCAGGCTGCTGCCCTCTGCTCTCCCTGCCCCTTTTATGCCCATGTGCGAGGGGAGAGGGGACAGGGAACAAGTTGTTTAAAGGCAGCTGTGGGTTCTGTCTTTTTTGGGCCACCTTCAAGGAACTTATTGTATGTTGAGGGAGCTGGGTGGGGCTCCCTCATTTCCCCAGCAAGAATCTCTGAGAATTCTTTCAGGCTATGGCCTGAAAATTCCAGGCCCATTTTGAAATGTCCCTGTGAGTCACTCTGGGTCCGGCCTGGCTCCCTTCCTCAGCATCTTGTTTCTGGGGGTGAGGGCCAAGCCCAGGCAGCTCCACTGTGGCAGCTCTCATACCCCCAGGGACCTGGACCTACTGGCCTTCACAGACCACTTCCCTGGAAGGGCAGGCAGGGCAGACACCAACACCCTTTAGGGTCCCCTGGGCTGGGCTGCCCTCTCATGCTCCACCCAGCTCCAACCCTCAGTCCCTGCTTTTCAGGGCGGCGCCTTAGACACACAGGAAGTATGTGCATTGGGGCTGGTGTGCAGGGACCCTCCGGTCCACGCCCCCAGCCTTCGTCTTACCTACATCACTAACCTCAACAAGGCCCGTCTGAAAACGCTCTCCTCTAGTGCCTTCTTTGGGGGTTTTCCAATCATCCTTCCCATATATTATATTGGAAATATTATGCAAACTGTTTAAGCATCTACTAATCAATAAATGCTTTATTTAAAGCCAGTTGCCTTGTGTGCTGCCCAGTGGGCTGTGGGAGGGATCAGATAGACCTTGTCTAGGAACCCTCATACACCTTAGTCTCTGGGACTCTTGACCAAGTATTTGACCAAGTATTTTTAGGTCCATGGTCTGAATTCCTTATTATTTTTTTTTAATTTAAGGTTTTTATTGTGGATTTAGTGAAAGTTTACAGGGCACATCATAAGTTTCACATTCAACACTTCATATAACTTGTTTCATTACATTGATTATAATCCCCTCCATACACCATCAGTTAAAAGTATTTCTCTTTATCCACTTTAGCTTTTTTTT